TTGTTCGCCATTGCATACTCAATAAATGGCCTTCATCGAGATTACACGGAGAACTCTTACAATACTTTCGTCGACGAGAGTCATTAACAGTTGTCGATTCATGTATAATGTTTGGCCATCGTATCGTTATCCCCAGAAATCTTCGACACCAAGTCATTAAACAGTTCCACAGCGGGCATCCGGGGATAAGTAAAATGAAGTCACTTGCTCGTAGCTATGCATACTGGCCGTCAATGGACCATGAGATAGAGCAAAAATGTCGCAGCTGTTGGTCCTGTCAAGAGGCTGCAAATAATCCAACGAGAGCTGAGCCACAAGCATAGCCTAAACCGGACGAGAATACATGCTGATTTCGCCGGACCGATACAAGGCAGGAATTACTTAGTTGTTGTAGATGCTTTCACAAAATGGCCGGAAGTATATGACATGCCGAATACGACTTCAGAGAGTACCATAAGAAGATTGTCAGGATTGTTTGCCTGTTTTGGGGTTCCAGAGATCTTAGTGACCGACAATGGTACTCAGTTTATGTCATCCGCCTTCAAACGCTTCTGCAACGAGAATGGCATATTGCATCTACAATCTCCTCCATACCATCCCCAGTCGAATTGCCAGGCAGAAAGATTCGTGGATACAATTAAAAGAGCTCTGGTCAAAGGGGGAGGTGAGGGTGTCCCGGAACAAGTGATTAATAAGTTCTTGATGTCTTACAGAGTTACCCCTAATCCGGCAGTACCAGAAGGAAAGTCTCCGGCCGAGTGTATGTTCGGAAGGAAAATCCGGACAGTTTTTAACAGTATGTTGCCGCCCAGAAAGACAAATAAACCCACGAATGAAACTCGTAAGGTCAATCGTAGCTTCCAGGTGGGTGAAAACGTACTTGTCAGATCGTATCAAGGTAATAGGAAGTGGGAACCAGATGTCATAGAACGTGGAATCGAAAATGTGTTGTACCTAGTCCAGAAAGATGTCGGGACATGCATAAGACATATAAATCAAATGCGAAGAAATGATAGTACAGTGGTCACAGAAAACCGGCTTCCATTTCAATTGCTCGTAGATTCATCTCAGAAGAACCATCATGAGCGCGAATATCGAAAAGACAAACGACGCAGAGAGAAAGCTGTACAACCCTCGAGAGTAATGGACCGCAAGAGGAATGCGACACCCAAGCTTCAGGTGGATCCAAGAAAAAAATCTTACACAACGGACTTTAAAGGGGGGGTGTGACGACGGACGACCGGTGAACTCGAGGAAGCTGTAAGAGGCTCAGAAGGAGCCGAAGACGTTCCATCCAATCACCTGTCGGAAGAATGTTCTAGAATTCCAACGTGTAGCTTCCCCATTGGATAATGCTAATAACCCCCTGTACGCGGAATAGAAGACTGTAATGATGATTTCGTTCTCACTAAAAACTATAAATACCTGATAATTTTTTACTATGTTTGACACTGTTTGGAATAATATTCCTTTCGTTAGTCTTCTGTCTTCTTATTGCGACTTGGAAGGGTTTGGTGTTACAGTGCTCAGTTATACGCGGTTGTATCAAGAAAAAACAGCTTTTTCAAGTTATAACAAAAACTAATGATATTACTACGCACTAAAATACTTGCACCAATGAAACCACTACTGAAACTTCTAATACTTTCAAAACTACCAATATAACATCTGTTATGAACGAAGACTTTGTTAGAGCAAAACATTTCATCATTTTAGAATATTAAACATTCCCAGTGTGAAAATTAGAACAACACATATAAACAAACTATTGTTTTCAATCAGATCGTCATCAGTTGTTAGAAATACTGTAACTCAACCTCCAAAGTAGAAAGTAATAATGTTAGTATGAAAAATATGATCTCATTGGATGTAGGAACTTTGTTCACCAACGTACCACTTATAGAGACTATTAAGTTTATATGCAAGCAAATATCAGAAAACCAAATCAACATTGGCTTGCCTAACAATAGCCTAAGGGAACGGCTCCTAAGATGCACTCTGAATGCACATTTTGTCTTCAACAATACTTACTATAGACAAATAGACGGGATAGCCATGGGCTCTCCTCTAGGCCCGATTTTAGCTGATCTCTTCCTAGCAAAGCTGGAAAATGGACCTCTCAATGAGACTATTAAGAAACTGGATTTATATTGCCGATACATTGACGACACCTTCATCATCGTAGATCAAAACACTAGTAAAGAGAAACTCCTAGACCAATTCAACAGTGTTCACCCAGCGATCAATTTCACTGGTGAAAGCGAGCATGATAATAAGCTGAACGTCCTTGACGTTACACTAAGCAGACGTAGTGACGGCACACTAAGTAGAAGCGTGTATGGAAGAAACCCCTCTTCATGCCAATATACTCAATTCTGTAGTTTCACACTCATCCGTTACATCCATTATTGGTTTGTAATTATCCGCCTCTTTTATTCTTCACTATCTAATGATTTACACACTTCTTATTACGTAATGATCATAAAATTTTGTGGCCAGTTATAACTTAACCAACAATTTTTTTGTTTTAAATATTATTATTATCATTATTTATTTTATTCTATTTGTGTTATCGTTAACCTTATTTCCACATCCATTATTGGTTTGTAATTATCCGCCTCTTTGTATTCTTCACTATCTAATTAGTTACACACATCTTATTACGTAATGATTTCAATGTTTTGGTGTTGACTATTCCTAGTCTATTTACCCATGTTTATTTGACCTTCTATTTTCAACGATTAACTATTTAATAAGAGTCTTCTTATTGTATTTTATTATTCTTACTATTATGAGTTCACCTGTCATCCTACTACTATCAACTTGTACTTTTACCTATTATGTGTAGAGACTTATTCTATTTCATTGTGAGTACTGACCCATATTGCCTTGATTGGTTTACGTTTTCGTATAAATATTCATGTATATTAGAGGAAAGCCTGATGACGATCTAATTTCATTATTTGTAAACAATACACTAAATACACAATATGCCCATCTTCCTTAAGTTGTCACTCAGAAAACTCATCGTTATTTCATTTTTGTTTTCGTATTTCAGTTCCTTACCGTTTTATCTTTTATTCTACTGATTATCCTATTTAGTGTGTATGAGGTCTACGCTTAATTCGTAAACACTACCACATAACGCAAGAAGAACAATGGATTTCCGTTGAGGGATTTGAATGTTCATATCAATTAGACTGATATGTTGGATAAATATTTGCTCAATGTTGTTAGGCAGTAAACGATGCATAGCCTAATAGTCGTTGTTGTACATAATTGAAAAGGTGGAGAAAAATGTCATAACCACTTGCATACGACGTATTACGTAATTGTATGTTCAACCGTGGAATAGATTTATTTCTTGTGTTCAATCTAGTCTATCAGTCACATTTGAGTTATGCTGAACGTGTAATGTGACGGTGACATGTGGTTTGTTCAGTTAAGTTACACATTGTGTGGAATTATGATCTAATTTTTAATGGTACCATTACAATAATGGACCGAATCCTAAAATTGTGGATATGTCGTGATGTGACTGCCTAATCTATATGATCTTACATGGAGTCACATCATTGTCTACTCTGACTAGTTGTATAGTAACAATGCACGATCTAACGTTTGGCGCTTGTAAAGAACACCTTTAGGCTAAATATAGAATAACATAATTACGATGATTAAAGACAAGTTATATAGAATAACCACTTCTGCAAGGTTGAGCCATACTGTGTGATTTCAGTCCTAAACATCAACGGGAAGACTCAACCAAACAATACAAATGAATATTTGCAATATCCTTTCTCATAATTACGTGTGAGTGAGAATAATTATTAAATAAATAGTGTATAATGAAGTGATCATCAACTGGTAGAAAAACACCGTATTGTTCTTCTCTTTCAAATCTGTCATCTTAGCAATGCTACGGTCGGACTGTTACTACTTTATTCAATACACACTGTTCTTCAGTCTTACGTGAGTATACGCTCAACTAGTATGGTATTTTGACTGATCAATTTATAACAATGACCGTTGTAAATTTCAAATAATATTTTCCCGTGGTGAGACTACATCAAACTGAACATTCACAACGGATTCATTATTGATTGCAATGATCACATAATCACATATACAGAATACTGCTCATTTCTAAACTGAATACTGTAAAACTCTTAGAATACAATTCAGCTTTTAATAATTGAGAGAAAACAATCCACGTAAATATTTCAGTTATTTAATCAACCGAATTACTTCAGTCGATACGTTAACAAACAGAAAATGGTATAAAACTTGTTCAAATAATTGAAACGGTTAACAAAATGTAAAGAAGTTTTCGGATGAAATACAGAATAAAACAACTCGATCAAAATAATAAAAACAAACGATAAGACGTTTCTGTAAATCATGGACTACTCTTCTTTCTCTTATACATCCAAATAGCACAACCGATGCATATGACACAGAAGGCGACGACGACGACTACTGGTATCACGATATACAAGTAACGAGGTGTGTTATTATGTTTACTGTGTCCATTTATTTCTGTAGTGGTGTTCTGAAAGAGAAACGAAACAGTAGCATTAATACTAAATATCAAATATTCACCGAATACGGTTTAGTTTTTTTTCAGTATATTTCCGAAATTTTTCTTCAGTGTGAATTTCAGTGATTCCTTTGTTCTGCGCTTTAACAACGAGAGTCTACAAACTGTCAACAATTATGCAAACATAATATACAATTTCCAACGGAATACGCTTCATCACTCAAACCGATTTCATCGGTGATTCATGGCAATTCACATAGATATACAGTTACATACTGGATTTCTGAAGTCACCACAAGCTCAGTGAGCTCCAAAAATTAATATGACCGCATTCATTGTTTGTTGTTACCATGAAATCGAAACGTATTCGTTGTAATGAAATTTTCTTCCGAGTAATCGGATGTACAATGTGGAATATAGCAATTTTGTAAACAATCTATGAATCTTAACAATTACTTACTTTAACATCATTATCATCGCTGTTAATGCACATATTAGCCTTTTCAGACCAGATACATTTCACACTTGATGTTGTCGCATTTCGGCATTTTTCAATGGAATCGTGTTTTGAACAACTCACTGTGAAGAAAATTAGGGAGACGGCATTTCAAGTTATCAAACAAACGATACGTGAATAACAAAGTGTGTACCTGATATCAGTTTTATCATCAATCTATATCTTGTATACCGTTTCTGCATGTGTAAAGTGCACAATCAATTCGTGAGCTCACTGGCACTGACTATTTCAAAATCAGTGCATGAAGGTCAGCTGTTCTCAGGCCGGAAAGTGATTTTCAATGTTGTTGATTCGATGGGAAGACAAAGGAATAGTGACTTTGTTTTTCAAATCATCATTGTGGCTTCCACAAAAACATTCTCTTTAACCTATTACGTGATGGACGGTTTCAAAATATGTGGCCACGTTCTAGTCTGTTTAACGTCAGTTAGCACATCCGACTCATTGGATTAGTGAAAATAATATTTTGTTCGACAAATACTGAAGGCGATCGGAACACTAATTTATCGAGCGATTCTACCAGTAGTCGAAACGTTATTTCAATTATCTAACACATGGTGAACTAAAAAGTGTCCGTAGACAATTATAGCGACTCACGTGCAATTGAGTTTAGTTCAGTCAAGTTCTTTTTTTGACCTATTTAATGGACAAAGTCATCCATGGTATGTCAACTCGTTGTATTGTTATTATTATTGTGCTTGTATGAAATAGATATGCTTGAACATTGTTCAGCGCCTACGCATGTATTCATTCTGCTAGCTTCATTATGAGCTGCTCAATCTATTCGGTGACTCGTCCATTTCTCTATATATATAGCGGTTCGAGGGTGATTGGTTGTCGAAGCACAGCCACTACACACTCACTTTACATAGTCATGAGAAAGGAGACACTCTTATATTGTGTTGACCGTCAGTAATTTTGTTACTGTACATATATATCGACTATGATAAATTGCAATTTGAACTCGTGACTTGTCTACACCTTCGATTTATCGAACAAGCATGACAAAGCAGAGATTTAAGAAATGAAACTAATACCTTTAAGATGATCACAGCTATCTGTTGTGTTTCAGTGATTTCAATAACTCAGATAAATTGGATATCATATATAATCAATGAAAACCTAACGAACACGACCTCGGTAATACACAATTTGCGAACAGACGATGAACGATTTCGAGGATTAAATCATCTCATCCATCGTTTTGTGGCGTGATTTCTATGTAAACTTGAAGAAAGTGAAGACTTCTGTAGTAGTTCTAATTGAGTGCTTAATCATTTTGAATATCCAACAGCAAATCGACGTGTAATCATTAATAGCAAGAGAAGCGTCAACTGTGAAACAATACTGGATATCGTGAAATGGCTAAATAAAATTACACTTGGAATTTATGATATGATGAAACAGAAGTGATATATTCAAGTGCGTAAATATTCAATGCTGATTAAATAAGGTTTAACATACCTTCGATAGGTTTTGGCTCCACTGACGTGTCACTTGTCATCCATTCTGAAGGAGTTGTTATTTCAGGTTCTGTCACATCTGTAAATTTGAAGAAAGTAAAGACTTCTGTAGTAGTTCAAATTCAGTGCTTAATCATTTTGAATATCCAACAGCAAATCGACGTGTAATTATTAATAGCAAGGGAAGCGTCAACAGTGAAACAATACTGGATATCGTGAAATGGCTAAATAAAATTACACTTGGAATTTATGATATGATGAAACAGAAGTGATATATTCAAGTGCGTAAATATTCAATGCTGATTAAATAAGGTTTAACATACCTTCGATAGGTTTTGGCTCCACTGACGTGTCACTTGTCATCCATTCTGAAGGAGTTGTTATTTCAGGTTCTGTCACATCTGTAAATTTGAAGAAAGTAAAGACTTCTGTAGTAGTTCAAATTCAGTGCTTAATCATTTTGAATATCCAACAGCAAATCGACGTGTAATTATTAATAGCAAGGGAAGCGTCAACAGTGAAACAATACTGGATATCGTGAAATGGCTAAATAAAATTACACTTGGAATTTATGATATGATGAAACAGAAGTGATATATTCAAGTGCGTAAATATTCAATGCTGAGTAAATAAGGTTTAACATACTATCGATAGGTTCAAACTCCACCAACGTGTCACTTGTTTTCCATTCTTCAAGCCTTATTCGAGTTGCAACTAGTAAATGAAAAATGATAATATTGAATTTCTGATTCATTTTAAAACATTCTCAGTGCAACATCTTCAAGAAACATGTTCAACTCGGTACAATTCTTTCGACTTTTTCAAATAACACATAGTCAACATTGAGATTTACTGTTCAAGACTAAGTAACATATGTCAACCGATCAATGTATTCCGTTTGACCAAATATTTAGTGTATTGTCTCACATTTAATGACAAAACATTGTATCCCACCGAATCGCTTTCACTAAACGCTTATCTTGAAACTCAGCTTGATCTTAAGACAACACATGATCACTTCAGTAAGGCATGAAGATTGAGCATTGTATAAAACAACTATCAGTTACAAGCATCACTCTTTTGTTTCTATTTGAGTAGTCAAAGGACTGAGGACAACAAGTGGGACTGTTTTTTCTGTGAGTGAATGAGCGGGTGAGTGAGCAAGTGAATAAATCAGTAGATATATGGTCTGTCAAATATTGTCGTTCATATAACCCTGTCTGGATCAGTCCGTCGTTAAATATATGTGTAAGCATTCTCCAATAGCTATCCACAATTTTAATGTAGTGATATTCACACATCATGGTTCTATCACTCGTAATATTGGGTTAAAAAACGTCAGAAAATGTGGATCACGAAATTCATTGTCTGTGTGATTTATCACAAAAGACTGAAACAGAACCATTACAAGTTCATCACAACAACTCAAATCGAATTTGTCACATTGATAAGGATGACCGTTGTTGAATTGAATACACATGTACTTTGATTTCAATACAGTGTTCCATTGTTCCAAAGACATTAGACATTTTCATTATTGGGTTTCACTAAGATTCTTTATCGGGTGTAACTACAAAAATTCCATTCAAGAATTGTCAACATATAATTGACGTTGAATATCCAGTATACAGTAATTGTTGGACAGTGATTTTACGAAAAGTATTTCGACTTTATCCTTCACGATTATCCTCAACACTTTAATTGCACTTCAATCGATTTGTCTTACATTCAAATCAACTAATCATTGTAGACTGTAATACAGTTATAAATGATCACTGTGAGCGAAAACGGCGGTTTACCATGTTGACATGCAGATGACCGTGTACGAATGGAATGTAATATTACGTTAACAGAAAACTGTCGACATGGTTACTCTACATCAAAATACCAGCAGTAATTGTTACCTTCCGACTTTTCTCTACACTGAATTACACCTTTAATTAAAGAGATCAGTGGACTTTGCTCGAGTCCCGTGGGGATCTGAAAAGAAGTATTGGAAGTATCAAACACTGGCATTCAAAAATATACACATTCTGAAACGATCAAGAGTTTAAACACTAAATCCCTCAGAATATTCTGCAATGTACTTTACGATCAGCTTATCTCCAGAAGACGAAATAAATCTTGTCACAATATGACTATTTTCGTGCTGTACTCTACGGTAAACTGTTTGTCCCTTTCTGTCGTGAAGAGACATCATCGTTTCTTTTGATGACTCTTCACTTCTAATTATTCTCTGTTTTTAGCAAGTGGTACATTGAAGTGTGTGTCATTAAATGATTATTAATAGTGTCACATAGTCCGTTTGCACATTACAAAAGTTGATCTCTTTCTGTCGTATTCAATGTATCTTGATACATTTGACATTATTGATACGCAAGAGAGAGTGGGTTAATCTTTAGTACTTGAAACAAAATTTTATTTCCATTCAATTGTACAACTTACGTTCTCATAATAGAGGGATATCTTCCCACTGGAATGTATCACATTAGTTATCTTGGCTATAGTACCTGCAAACAAAAGACTATTGATATTTAGAATTCTTATGGAATGATGATGAGCTTGTTACTGTCAGGTGTTACAGTGTATATGCCTACTTACAAAAAATATCCAATTTAAGCAAACATATACCGTGTTATCTCGAATGTTGTCCTTCGTTGAATTCGTTATAAATAATATCAAGTGGACCTCATGCAAAACATACGAACACAATTTATTCAAAATGAATGTCAGCTGTTTAGTCTTCGGAACCCGAGAAGTATACAATTCTGCGCAATATTTTCTATCATTACTCCCAAATCAATCGACACTAAGAACACATGACTTGTGTTGTGAAGTGTTTGTTCACAAACGGAAATTGAGAATTTATTTACTCATTAACCACACTGGCGAATCGATCAGTCGACTGACTCCCATCATGGCGTTTACAAATAACACAGATTTATTTGTTGAAGATGTGAAGTGAATAGCCTCAGACATATTGATTTTATCGGGCAATATTTAGGAAACACTATGTGATGAGTGACTGTGTCGATGTATAAGGTGTGTGCAGAAAATAGCTTTGAGACAAACATATAACACAATTTATTTGTTACAATAAACGGACTTCACATCAAGTTCCATTGAAGCCGGTCAACGATGATGAATCTGTGCAGCAGTGTTTCCACATATGAAATGGCATTGTAACTTCATTCATCCATTTATTACTCGTCAAGTCTATTCTCTTCCAGTCTATGTTAACTGTTCTTCGAGTCCTAATCATTGTGATTAATTGATCAATGGATTGCATGTGCAAGTCCACCCTCATTTTGCAGAAGCGTTATGTATTCCTACTTCTGTCAGTCATTGGGAAAAATTGAATTACAAAAACTGAACAGGCAGGTGTGAGCAAACACAATGAGTAGTTTTAAGTGTTGGGATTTCATATGATATCAAATGATCATTCAATGTTCACTTATATGTACCGTCACGAAGCATCCGAAAATACCATGTGACAGCAATGAAATCATCTGAAAAAAATAAAAATCGAAAAGATATTTGTATATCTGCATAATGAATATCTACCTCTTTTAATAAATATACATTCTAACAAAAAATGTATTGACAGACGAGTTATCACCTTCCTTCCTTCCGAGATTTAAGTGAACTGGTACATTTGAATGAACAATCATCATTCGTTGATTGATTGTGTGGGCGTGGGTTTTAATGTCATTATTTTATAAACAGGATAATCTTAGAAGTGTTAAACATCCAATGGTCCACAGATAGCGACTAAGAGATATTTAACTTTCATGAATCAACTAAGTGTCAGAAAAGAGTTGGAAGACGTCAAGTATAATTTGACAGTTCATAAAGTTAATGACTCAAACTGACCTGTTGAACAACATTGCTTAGTGTTGCACATGCGATCAATTTGATTCATTTAATCTAGAAAGACGTATCGCGTCGGTGAGACATCTTTCGCATTGTTGTTTAAATAAACTGGATAACAGTTCATTTTCACTCAGCAACCACATCGCTTGGTTTATAATTTCTACTGAATCGATTTGTGTTTATTTTGTAGTGAATCGCTGTGTTTATTTGATATTTTAACTTGACAGTAATGAATACGTGCTGTGAACACAGGTTCTGGTACCAAATCACAGAAACAATATAGTCACTGTGAAATGGTCAGCTTTCGTGTAATAATCAAGCTAAATACTGAACCATTTATGCACAACACGTGTGTGAGAACAAACAAAAGAAAACATTATGGGATAATAGAAAAACTCACTGTTCTCTACCATCTCATAGTCAGGCAAAGAATAGCCCTGAACAGTATTATATATCTTTCCGATTTCTTTTTCTCCGAATATTGTTATAAAGCCTATATTTAATGAAAACATAGAATTTGATTGAAATTCTATAGTGGATGAATGAAATGGTTCGAAATGAACTGGAGACAAAAATGAATTTCATAAACTGTAATTAGTTTGCTATGAGACATGGAACGTTTGATAAGTTCAACAAGAAGAAAAGGAATCTATCAAAAGTTTTGAATGTCAGAAGAAGCATAAAACTGATTCATTGAAGAAATTCTAGCAAACTTGATTCATGGAATGAATTGTGATTAACAAAACTCAATAACAATTTTAAGTGAAAGAGAAAAAATTATCTTACCATGACGATAAATCTCAAATCTTTTGACGTTAATACCGTAAAATTTAAACGAAGATTTCGGGAAAACATTCTTAAAAGATGGAAGCATAAGAATTAGTTGTTCCATTACAAAATGTAGTCAACTCACCTGATCGGTACTAACTTTTTTAAAATTGTCACTAACAACTGGATACTTCTGATTGTGACGTATTGTTCGTGAGTAGTAATAATGATGAGACTGTGTATGTGCATTAGAATCTGACTGTATACTTACATATTTATATGAACCCGTATCCGAAATCACATTTTCATATCCCGCTAATCCAGGATTTTCGCAGATATCCTGACAGTCGAAGAATTCGGAAAGCACGATGACGACCAAATAAACCGGTATCAACAGATCAGACAGAGAAGTATATCTAAAATGGTTGATATGAACAAAACAATGTTATCTCATTGAATCAGACCGAAATCCATACAGTACACACAATAACTTCGCGTGTTCAGTCAACACTCACCTCATCTTTCCGTTCAAAATAGTATAACAATCTTACCAGAATTTGTTAGGTTTATATAGAGTTTTCAGGTGTATGTTTGTTTCTTTCTGACTTTCTATAATTCAAAGTAACCATTGCAAAGATTTAATTTCATAAAATCATCTCTTCATTGTTAACCAATTATTTCGGTAGACAAACCCATTATTATCCAATATCTTTGTAGCTATCGAGGACGTAGGCAGATATTTATCCACCATTGGTTGAATTCCTGACCTCCAATGATGAAAATGCTTTTGGATATGATTGGCAATACTTTAAAATAAGTGATTGGTTTATTTGTAGTTCAAAATGTATGCTCATGTGTTCACGAACAAACACTTTGTTACGTGTAATAATTTTTTAATGGGCTGTCAATGACGCATTAATTTGACTTGATTGGTTGAGATCAAAGTGGCACAAACTGTTTCATAAGTTGAAATCGTCAGCCAATTGAAGCTAGACCACCATGAAAAACCTGGAAGCGCTGACGGCCGTTTCGCCCTAGTATAGGACTCCTCAGCAGTGCGCATCCACGAACCCGCTCCCCGCGGGAATCGAACCCAGGATCTACTGCTTTCGC